GGGACTCCCGGCCGCGCCTTGGGAAAGCTGTGTGTTTCCTTCACACTAAGGATTTGACCCACAGAAGGGCAGTGACGTGTCCGCTGTGCCAGCCCAGGGGTTGGCCGCCCAGGCCATGAGCCTGGGGGAGCGGAGCTCCGGAGCCCTGAAACATGCCAGAAGGGAAAGGTCCTAAACACTAGTTTTAGGGTGAAGGACTGGGCTTATGTTTTTTCTCCCCAACCATCTTGGGAACTAGTGAGGAAAAGCTTAGACGGCCGTAGAGCTGGAAGTATTCTGTGGAAGGAAAGGTTGTCCTTGCTAATAGCCAGAAATGAAGGTCGAAATTGCCTCACTGGTCCACCGCCGAAGCCACTCCTGGCGGACTTAAACAAAATAAGCCCTTTTGTTGGTCGGATCTAACTGAATTGGCTCAGGGGTGAGAATGATGACGGTCAGGAGAGGTCTCTGACAGGGCTGACTCCCGCCTGCGGAGAGCGGGCCGCGCAGCCCCGCGCGCCAGCTCAGGCAGTCTGTGGCGTCGGGCGGTTTCAGGACACAGATGCGCCGTTCGTGGAACGCCCTAGTCTGGGATGCGGAGACTCGGGTGACCTTGTGCCTCTTGAGCCTTTGTGCTTTGACTACTTTGCTGGTTATCGTTTAGTGTGAATTGTTGACTATCTTAGGGTGAAGTTTTTCTTTTACTCTAAATGTTAGTTTGCTACTGTTCGTGTATAAGTTCTGGTGCTCAATAATTGGGACAGGGCGTTTTAGCATGCTCCAGGCAGTGTCGGGACATCAGCCCCTTTTTTCTTTTGCTAATGTTTTATACATCGAATGATTTTTTTATCATTGAATTCTTTTTTTTGTAATTTTTTTAAAGATTTCTTTATTCATGTAGAACTTGTCAGGCCATAGGTGCTGGGGAGGTGAGTGGACTCACCAGAGACAGAGTGGGGAGCGGAACAGGCTGACTGACGAAGTCCACTGCTGAGGGGAGCAGCGGGCGGGTCAGGAGAGGTCTGCCGCGCCCTGGGGGTCACCTCTGAGGCGGGGATCGAACTCGCACTGAAGCGGCTGCAGCCAGCTTGCCGTGGCTTGCTGTGCTGCATCCTAACCCGTCAGGCCATCAGGGAGGGTCTTTATCATAGAATTCTAAAGGAAATTATTTGAATTACTCAACTGTGAAAAAACATTTGACTAAAATATTAAAAGTTCTAAAAAAGTTGACTGAAATGTTTTTGTAATTGATGTCTTTAGACCCAAAGGCAGAAACCAGGCTATCCATCACGATCAACGACTTTGAATTTCATGTTTACAACCGTTCGGATCTTTATGGACGTCTTCAGGAATTGTTTGGTTTGGAGCCAACTATCATCTCGCCCAAGAAGGAGGATGACAGAGCGCAGGACCGTGGAAGGATCAGGACCCGATCCGGAATGGAAAGGTCACTTCCCACTGCCTGGCCCGTAGCCCAGCTCTGGACCTTTGCTTGATTTGGTAGCACGTTGCTCTCCACCTAGACACGGCCTGTATCTCTGTGTAGATCGGCTGAAATTGTACGATCGTCTTAAGCATTTCAGTGGTGCGGACTTACTTAAATTTCACGGCATCTGCTTTTACTGCTCCATGTTGATAACTGCTCTTAGCAGCTGAGCACGGGACTGCCTTGTGGTGAGCCTTTTGCAGGCTTAGACAGGCCCATAGCAGACGCATCTCGGGGCCGCCAACGCACCCCGCACCCGCAGCTGGTGCCTCTCCCTGGGCTTCCCGTCCGTCTCAGCCGGCCCGTGTCTGACCAGCCACTTTGTCAGGATCTGCGGTTGGGCGGTGTCAGGCCTTCGACATCATCCTCTGTCAGTGTTTTGGGTCTTTTGTCCCTCGTGAAAGGGCAGAAACCGTTTGTCAGTCGCCACAGAGGACTTGCTGGGACTGGCCGTGCCGCGTGGGGCCGGGGGCCGGCGCGCATGGCTGGACCCCGCAGCCCAGCCCCGGTGGGTTACGCCTTCCCGCCACGCCCTGCGCAGAGCTGTCTGCGTGGTGCCGCTGTGGGCGGCGTGGCTGGTACGTGTAGGTTTCGCTGGCTCGGTGCTAGTTTATAGGAAAGCGGCTGCTTGTCCCTGTTAGCCGTACCCAGCAATCTTGCCGTAATTACTAGTTCTCAGAGCTTGGTCGGTTTTTTCCGGTTTTCTGCAAATCTGCAAACAAAATCCTTTTGGTAGCAGACCTCTTAGCTCCTTTTCTCAGGGCATCAGTGGGACGTCGGCACGATGCCATGGTGAGAGGGGCTCTCCCCACGGCCCTGGCCCCAGCGGGGAGCTTCCGGCTCCCCACCGACTGGGGCGCCGCCGGTGTTGGGTGGGTGTTGTTGACCCCCCGGGGAGCCCCCGCACCCCCGGCTCGCGGAGGGCTGGGATCCCGAATGGAGGCTGCCGCTGCCCGGCGCTTCTCTGTGTCCTGTGGTCACGCGGGCTTTCGTTTCAGCCGTTGTCTGCGTCCGGCTTCCAGTGCCGACCCTGCCGTCCACGCCTAGCGTTTATTGTTCTGCGAAAGTAGATGACGAGGACATTTGTTCTCCAGTGAAACTTTGGTGGCGACCGGACCGACTCAGTGTGGAGGCGCCAGGGCCCGGACGACCGTCCGCTGGGCGGTCACAGCCCGGTGTGGGGACTTGCTTGCGAGGCCTTCTCAGCGCCGGAAGTGACCCCAGGGACAGGGCCCGGGGGGCGGGGAGTGCGGCCGCGGGCTGGCTGCCGTCCTGGTTTCCCGCCTCCGACGCTGGGGGGGCTGTGAATGCGGCTGGGCAGGAGGCGCCTGTGGGACGCGTCAGGGTGGCGGGGGTGGGGGGGCTGCCTGCACTTCAGGCTGAACGCAGTGAAGTGCTGTGAACCCCCATCTCTTCAGCTTGGGGTCCTTGGTGCGAGGGGCTTGTGCGGGAGGAGGCCGGCGCTTGTCAGAGGCAGGAACCCCGGACGCCGGGCGACTCCTCTAGAGTCGGCTATGGTTCTGGCTGTGTGTAAAAGGGGGGGCTGTGCTGGAGCGTCCATGATGGTGTGTGGTGACCCCGTCACGATTTATGTGGGCGGCTTGACAAGCCACCGATGAAGGCTTGTCACCCTCAAAGGCTTGTCAGGACCTTAGCACCCAGTAGACGGGGTCGTGTGCCCAGGGCCGTCCTGTCAGCTGGGAGGCCTGGGGCTTCCCCTCAGCTGAGGGGGGCGGTGGGGGGCCCTGGGGCCGTCCGCAGCCACAGGCGGACGTGGCAGCTGGCATCAGTGATGGCCGTGCCCCCTCAGGCACTGAACCTTTTCTTGTTATTCCAGTTTTCATTGTTTTCTTCTCAGAGTTAGCGTGAAGACAGAGTCCCAGGACCCTGCGTCTTCCTGGCGGTCACTCATCCCCGTGGTCAAGGTCAGCGTGAGCACGGTAGGTGAACTGGGGGAGCTGGAGCCGGGGGTGAGCAGATGGGGGAGCTGGGGCTGAACTCTCTGCTGCAGTGGATGCTGCCCCTTGACCCTCAGCCTGTGTCTTTGCAAGCATAATCTTCGCGTAAGAAGATTCTGTAGTGTTTTGGTTCCGGGTTTCGTCAGGCGTGTAAGAGCCGCAGACCAGCGCCCACCCCAGGCCGGACCCCCAGGCCGGGCCGGGCCAGCCGGCCGTTGGGCGCTCCGGAGGGCGGCGGCCGGCAGCGTGTCTGTGCCCCTGCAGGGGCGCCTGGCCTTTGGGAACCACTACCAGCCGCAGACCCTGTGCGTCAGCGTGGACGACGCCTTCCTGACCTACACCACCAAGCCGCCCTCCAGCCACCTGGACCAGTTCATGCACATCGTCAAGGGGAGGCTGGAGAACGTGCGGGTGATGCTGGTGCCCAGCCCCCGATACGTGGGCCTGCAGCACGACGAGTAAGGGCCTCTCGGCCGCGGCGGTGGGGCGCACGTCTCCCCGCGGGGGCTCCGTTCCACGCCCCTTTCTCCCCCTCACTGTGTGGGGAGCACGGTTTGGGCGAGTCGCCCCGGGGTCTGGCCAGGCCCAGGCTGCCTGCGCCCCGGCGGGTGGGGGTGCGGCCCGTCCACCACCAGCTGGCAGCTGTCGCTGGCGATGCTGGAGTTGGCTCCAGCGCGCTCTTTGGGGCTGGCGCGGTCAGGGTGCGGCTCTGGGGTCACTCGCCAGCTCCCCTCCCACACGCCACAGTGGTGTCCGGGGGGGTGGCCCCTGTGGCAGGCGTGTCCACACAGGTGGCCAGGCTGCGGGACCCCGACCTGCCTGCCGGCCTGCAGGTGCTGAGCCCAGGCACAGCGTGGCCCTGGGGACTGGGGGGCCGGAAGGTGGGACGTTTCCACGGGGCCTTGGCCCTTAGCTTTGGGAGTGTGGGTTCAGGCTGTCCTTGGCCTCTGTGCTGGCTGGGCCGAGTGGGCCAGAGCGAGAGCGAGGCAGGAGAGCCTCTGCCTCTGGCCTCCGCTCTGGGGCGCTGCTCGGCGCCTGGTGGCAGAGGTGGTCAGGCTGGACACAAGGTGAATTCTGTGCAGTTGTTTAGTAAGCGAGGTGAAGTGTTCTGTTGACTTTTTAAAAAAGATTTATTTGTGCATGCAGAGCTGGGGTCCAGGCCAGAGGTGCAGGGGCAGTGAGAGGCTTCCCCAGAGACAGAGCGGGGAGCGGAACAGGCAGATCGACGAAGTCCACTGCTGAGGGGAGCAGCGGGCGTGTCAGGAGAGGTCTGCCGCGCCCTGGGGTCACCTCTGGTGCAGGCGGGGATCGAGCTGGTGCTGAAGTGGCTTCAGCTGCTCAGTGCTGTGCTATAACCCGCTGAGCCCCCAGGGAGGGCCCAGTATTCTGTTGATTTTTATAAACATATTTCAGAAATCCAATTTATTCTGAGGATTTTAAGAGCACAGCAATGTTAACATCCTTATGCCCGTCGTCCTATTCGAATCGTTATATTTGCCCTTTAAAGTTGTTCGGAGGTCAGATGAGGGGATTCAGCACGAGCTGTGGTATTGAGCACGTGTCGCAGATTGGTGGGCTCACGGCGTTGCGTCTGACGCTGAGAAGTGAACCCTGACTGGAGGAGGGTGTGGTGCGTTGGGGCACGTGAGGCGAACAGTTTTGGGAAATCAGGATCGGAGAAACATCTCTTCCAAAGTTGGGGTTCGAGGTGCTTATTTCCCGCTGGTGCCGGTGGGACGGACGCGGCTGGGGTCTGTGAGGACTGGGGCGGCCCGAGGGGCGCAGACGGCCGACTGGGGTGCCCGTCTTCCCGCCGCTGTGCGCACAGCCAGATACGGCGCCTGCGCCCGACGGGCGGTGGCAGCTCCTGCACACTGGTGCCTGGCGCGCCCTCGGGTCCAGAGACAGGCTCGGCCTCGGGCGCAGCTCGGCCGAGCCGACGGCTCTCCCGTGGCTGGGTCCGGGGGGAAAGGTGTGCGAGTGTTCACCTCCGTGCAGTGGGAGGAGAAGCCTCCGGAAAGCCCAGCAAGAGGCAGAAGCGTTGGGCCGGCGGGGCGGGGACGGGCGGGGACGCGGGCGGGCGGCGGGAGGGCTGGGCCTGCAGGGGCGGCCTGGGGCGGCGCATGGGGGACCGGGCTCAGCGGTCACTGGGCCCAGCAGCGTGGCGCACTGAGGCAGGTCGTGGCCTTGGGCTTGTTGACGGTCGCTGCACTGACGCCCCCCAGAAGCTGACGCCCCCCCAGAAGCAGGCCATTGTTTCTGGGAGCTGCCGTGCGCCCTGACGGCACCCTGGCGCCTGCCCCGCGCCTCCCTGCGCCAGGCCTGCTGGCCCGGGGCTTGGCTCCGTCCTCACCTGCTGTTCTGGGCGGGGCCTGCGCCCTCCGCAGGCCGCAGCTGAGGCGCCCCCTCCTCGCAGGCCGCCGCGGCTGATGGGGGAGGGCTTCGTGGTGATGCACTCCAACGACGTGGACGTCTACTACTACATGGATGAGCCAGGTACGCCCTGGGCGCCCCGGCCCCGAGCTCAGCGAGGCGAAGGTGCCTGCCCCGCCAGAGGTCCGGGTTCGCTGATGTTTGAGGCCAAAAGTGAAGGCTGCGGTCGGTCCACTTGGCCAGCCGGCCTCAGGAAACGGCGGGCAGAGGCTGCTGGGCTCGGAGCAGCGGCCAGGAGGCAGAGAGGAGACTCGGCCCGCGAGGTTGAGGGTCGGGACCAGCTGGCGCCGAGGCTCCGTGGGTGGCCCTGACGGCCAGCTGGTGCGGGGCTTTAGGCCCTGTCCCTCCTGGCTTTCGGGGTTGCGAGGCCCGAGTGCTTTCAGAGTAAGACCAGGCTGTGCACCCCATCCTCACGGGCCGAGCAGTGGGCGCGGGTGCTGGGTGGGGGCGCTGGGGTGGGGCGCTTGGGGGCTCTGGGTGGTGCCGGCCCGCTGGGGGCGGGCCGGGGGCAGCTCAGGGGACTGCCCACACTGGCGCCCGTCGTGGCCGTGGGTCGGCGCCTCCACGTGGGGGAGAAGCCCTGGGCCCTCCCCGTCTGGCCGTCTGGGGTGAGGCAGGTTTTCTCCCCGCGCTTGACGCAAGTGTGGGAGCGACAAGGGAAATTCTCCCGACTTGTCAAGTTGGACGCAACCGACGTGGGCGCCAGCACACGCCAGGCGGCGCTTTGGCAAAATCAAGTGACTTTTCACTTAAAAAGTGACTTTCTGTTTTGTGTCTTTTCAAATTTGCTGGTGCGTTTCGCGCCCACAGGCAGTGTCTGAAAGCTGAGTTTCGGGAGTGCTCAGCTTCCGTTCCGAGTGTGGTCGGTCTTGGCCAGGGGCCCAGGAAACACTGCGGTGCCCTCAGTCCCCGAGAGCGCCCAGGGCCCCGAGGCCCGGCGCCCTCAGACCCGTGACCGGGCGGTGCCCGCCGGGACCTGAGGGCGGCGTGTGCTGCCTCCCAGGGCTCGTTCCGGAGGACGCGGAGGACAGCGCCGACGGGGAAGCGGGCAGCGAGGACAGCAAGCTGCAGGACCTGCCCCCGTGCTGGGGGCTGGACATCGTGTGCGGCAAGGGCACGGACTTCAACTACGGGCCCTGGGCCGACAGGCAGAGGTGGGTGGGCCGTGGCCCTCGCTGCCCACCGGCGCCCGTGGTGCAGCATGGAGCTGGGCCCGGCCCCAGGGAGGGGCGCTGCGGTGCCCGGGCGAGTCCCCGGGGCCATGTGTGTGTGGGGGGCAGGTTCGGGGAGCCCGAGGCTGCTGTGCAGAGGCACCAGGCCACGCGACCGCAGCAACACGGGGCTCGGCACTGGGCCGCCGCGGGAGGCGGGGCACACGTCTGCGGGGCCCTTGGGTGCCCGCGTCTCCTCACGCCACGTGTGGGGGTGACAGCGCCCAGCCCCAGCCCCGGGCCTGCGGAGGCCTCCGTCGCCCAAGTCCGACGGAGCCGGTGCTGGTGGATTCGGCTGCGGACGCGGACGCGGCCCCGAGGGCCC